AACTTTTAAGATTTTGAGCCCAATAGGACTTTTCCTCAGAATGGAAGGAGTGTCACATCAGACTCGAAACGTTAACTTTTATTGGCGAATAGGCTAGCAACATCACATGAACACATGGGCATTTAATTCCTATCGATATGCAAGCTTCTGTATCGTCTTCTCAAATATGAAGGAATCCTTAACTATGTTAGTGGAAACTGGTTGAAGAAATTCACGCATCTGTTTTGAATACTCAAGTTCTGTGCTACCAAACAACTATTAGGATGGAAAACCTTAGAAATTATTTTGAGGAATTGATTAGTCTCCACAATGTCTATCAGTGGTTGGCATAAAGAATCATTGGCTAAGAAATTAACTTTATATTGATTTAAAAAGTAAAATAAAAGGATGTTAAACATTTAAGGCTGAAAACAAGTTTATGACCTTCGTACACCAGGGTTGATGTTAGGCTAATTAGAAAATATTGCAAGAAATGAAGAAAAATCCAACCACGTTCAGTAACCAGACTAATAGACTGAAATGCAATTCACTGCAGACATACATAAAGTAATTAGTGTGGAGGCAAGTGACCTGAAGAGGAAGCATGTGTTGAATGGATCATTTGATAGTTTTCTGTTCAGGAAAATATCATTACGCCATAATCGATAAATTTATGCAACTCTCTGAATGTGCTGCAGTGGCAGTATTTACAATAGCCAACAGATGGAGTACAAAGCTGAATTGTTGTATAAGTTTTGGCTAGTCCACATCTGAATGACGGTGGAATTCTAATCACTTAATCACATGAAGATCATATAAAGCATACAAAAGTGAACAATGCAGATGATCACAGATATCTGAAATTTAAGACAGGAAATTTAGAAAGTTGGTTTGTTCTTGTACAAAAAGAATGAAATTTTGTGATGGTTGGTTGGAAGGCAAGTCATGAGGTTGAAACAAGGATTCTACAGAGGGATTTAGAGACATTAAGTGAGTGGGAAAAAACTTGGCAGATGGAATATAATGGGGGAAAATGCGAAATTATGCACTTTGGTGGGAAGAATAGAACAGTTTTTTTAGTTTGATTTATTGTTGACATATGCATCTAAGTACAATGAAAAGTTTTGTTCTGCATGCAGTACAGGCAGATCATACTGTACAAAGATGATAGGGTGATTGAACAGAGCGAGCAATACAAGTTAGTGCTGCAAAGAAGGTGCACAAAAAGCAAGATCAACACTGGATTTGAAATTCAAGAGGTGCATTCAGAAGTCTAATAATAGCAGGGAAGAAGCTGTTCTTGAACCTATTGGTACGTGTCTTTAAGCTTTTGTACCTTCTTCCTCACTGAAGAGGTTGGAAAAGATTACAACTGGTATGGTAGGGGTCTTTGATAATGTTGGCTGCCTTTCCACAGCACCAAGAAGTGTAGATGGAGTCAATGGTTGGAAGGTTGGCTTGCGTGATGGTCTGGGCTGTGCTCACAACTTTCTGTAGTTTCTTATGGTCCTGGGCAGAGTAGTTGTTGTACCAAGCCATGATCCATCTGGATAGAGTGCTTTCTATGGTGCATCTGCAAAAGTTGGTGAGCGTCCTTATGGACATGCCAAATTTCCTTAGCCTCCTGAGGAAGAAGAGGTGTTGTTGTGCCTTGTCGCATCAACGTGGGAGGTCCAGGACAGAATTTTGAGCGTCACTCCGAGGAACTTGACTGTCTCAATCATCTCCACCTCAGGAGAGTGGAGTGATGAGTGGAGAATGGAGAAAGAGTGCAGAAAGCTACAGCATAGAGGGATTTAGGTGTCCAAGTACACAAATCTCAAAAAGCTAGCAACAGCATTCAGTGGGTAATAGAAAAGGCAAATGGACTGTTTATCTTTATTTAAAAGGGAATGGAGTATTAAAATAAGGAGCTCTGAGTAATATTATACAAAGCACTCATAAGACCACAGCTGGAATTCTGGGAATAGTATCAGTCCCATTATCTAAGGAAAGGTCTCCTGGAACTGAAGATAGTCCAGAGATGGTTCATTAAGTTGCTCGTACTATGGAGGCATTTTCTTATGTAGAGAGGTTGAGTAGATTAAGTCTATACTCATTCGACTTTAGAAGACTAAGAGGTGGTCTTATTGAAACATTTAAGTTTCTTAAGGAGCTTGACAGGATAGACGCAGAGAAGTTATTTCCCTCGTGGGAGAATCTAGGACCAGAGGGCATAATCTCCAAGTAAGGGATCACCCATTGAAATGGAGAGAAATATTTTTGTCTCAGAGGACAGTGAATCTGTCGATTCACTATCAGAAGGCTGTAGATACTGGGTCATTAAACATATTGAAGGCTGAGATCAAGATGTCTTTTTTAATCTATGAGGAAATCAAGAATTATGGGGATAAGACAGAAAAGTGGAGTTGAGGGTTATCAGATGAGCCATAATGTCATTGAATGGCACAGCATACTCAATACACTGAATAGCTGACTTGTTTTTCTCCATCTCATTATCTTATGGTCTTAAACGAGGAATTAACAATGATTGAATTGGGGGAAATCTACTGGTGTCAAGAGTTCAAAAGATGAAATGCAAATTACTCTTAAGTGGCGGAAGTTTAGGCAATATTTATCTGAAAGGTAATAGAGATGTTGAATGAGTTACCAGGGATGGCCTGTAAAACAAAGAATCAAAATTAGTTTAATAAGATACAATTTTTGAGGAAGAAAATATTGAAGTTTATTCTAAGACTATTGGTGGTTCTTTGGAATTAAGGATGAATCCTGTCAGACAAGGTGAGTCATCAGATGAGTCGCAAGTTTGGACCCTCAAGTTTTTTCACAGTGGGAACACTTTGTTGCCAGTGCAATTGGAGATGACAGTGTCAGGTTATCTTATTCCTTCTTCCTTTGCTGCCACCTGTCAACCTCACAACTGAGTTCTTGAGTCTTGAAGTAGCTTGTGCCGAAATGAATCAGGAGGAGCCACGTTGAGTGTGTGATAGCTTTCTCCTCCCAGTCAGTGGTCAATGACTCCATGCTTTAGAGTGGTCTTGAGTGTGTCCTCACATTTTTATCTTTGGCTACCTTTTTAGCATTGTCCAACAGAGAGCTGGGAGAAGAGATGAAATCCAGGGAGGTCGTTTCCAGGCAACGCAGACGTAATAACCCATCCATCGAAGTTGTTTCTGCAAAAGCAGTGATTCAATACTGGTCAATGAGGCTTCAAAGAGAATGCTTGCATTGATCTAGCGATCCTCCCATTTGATCTCCAGGATTCAACATTGACACCTGTAAAGCCCAACCACAGCTAAACCCCAGAGCCTCTCCCAGCCCAGTCTAGACCCAGCCAACAACAAGCCCATAGACACACTCACCTCAGCCCCCTCCCTTCTAAGTTGCTCCTGTAATCATGGGGCTGATTCCCTCTGGTGCTTGCTGCTGATAGTTTCACCTGGATCTCTGATCAGAGCAGCAACTTCTCACAGATTTTGCCTCCCTCACTCACGGGGCTGTCCTTTCTCTGATTGGTCCTGTCCCATTGCATTTTAACTGCTGTCATATTCACTCTGCAGAGCAGGAACAAGCTTTTCAATCCAGCTGCTCCATGTAGTATTTATATTCTGCAGGGTTACCCTTTTACTGCTCATTCCCTCTGTGGTTCTTTTGCTGCAGTTTAACACCCAACATTCTGTTCCTGCAGCTGTAATCTGTGACAAAGGCTTGTATGTTGTAATGAGCCTACATTTGAGTGAAGTGTATCGTATTGGTACTTCCCTAGGCCATCAAAACTATTGTGCACTTAGAAAGATAATAGGAGAACAACATCGAGAATATCTTTGAAAATCTGCTCAAGCAGTACCGTCCTTTCCTTAGGTTAAAGAGGTCACTCCAGAGGTTAACTTGGATTTGGTAAAGTAAGGGAAGAATCAATCATAACTAATTAGAATGATTAGATGTGGTAGATTCTTGTACCCAGAACAATGCATTCTGAGGTTGATCTTCAATTTGTTCTGCATTACCTCAGCCTGGATTGGAGTGGGAAGACAAGTATTAGGAGCTCTACTGGGCTAACAAGGAGACAATTAATCAGGGATCTTGCTTTTGATTGTCACTTAATGACCCCTGTATATATATGTGGAGTTTGAGGACTGAAGGCCTGTGTTGATTTCATTGTCCCCAATGTTTGAGGTCATTATGAAAAATAAACATGCAGGCAAAGTCCGTGAAGGGAGCTAGCACTTATGAACCTGCAGGCCTGTGGGGAAGGGAAAGAGAGAAAATATGCAAACAGCGAAACCAAAGAAAAATAAAAAATGTTGACCCAATGACAGTATTGGAATACTCTGACCCAGGGAAAAATACTCACCTTTTCAGAATTTAAATTAATGGATACAAATGGGAAAAAAATGCAGATATTAGAACAACTCTACTAAAGTGCTTCATATAGTTAGAAATGATAAACCCATTTTGTTTCAGAATTGAAATCCTACTTAGAAAATAATAATTTAATGTAAAGGTAGGGGAGGGCCTATAAGCCAGTAGAGGTTATCTTTACTGAATGGTGACTTCAATTCTATTCTGTAACACGTAATTGTTAAATAATATATATTTTTAATTGGAGTGTGAAACAAAATCATCTTGGGACATTTTTTCCCCATAATTAATTGGAATGAAATCCATCATCTTTACTTATGTCTAGTAATCAGAAAATGATTTTCTCGATTTGTAATAAAAACCTCTTAATATGGTATGAAGAAACAGTTTGACAGGGAAGCAAAATTTAAAATATTAAACATTATTAAATTGCAAGGGTAGAAATGAGCTTTGGCACTGATCCATGCAGTGTTGAGGACTCAAGTGGAGTATGATTTGTCAAACCTCTGTTGTTATCAGTATAATAAAACTGTACTGGTCCACAGAGACCAGCAGTAGATAAACTGATCTACACAGACTGCAGCAGGCATATTGAACCATACCGACAGGCAGACTGATCCACAACAGTTGATAAAGAGGCTGAGTAAAACACTCTAACAAGGAGATTGTTCCACACGGATCTGCAGCTGTTAAACAGGCTGAAACACACAGACTGGCAGCAGATCAGAAGGTAACAGGTCCAATGGGGATTTCAGCTTTAGGTGACTGGGGTAGTTTGCTCTCCATAGGGGACAATTGTGGTGGTAGTTAGTACTGCACCAGGATTTCAATTCAATGGTCACCCGGGAGTTAGAGCAGCTGTTAATTCCTCCAACTTTTCCTGAGTCAGTCACAACTCTCTGAAGTCTTAGAGTCTCATTCCTGGTCTACTGAATTGGGACTTCTATATGGTGTTGAGGTTGGTTGGCTCGCCGAGCTGGTTTGTTGTTCCACAGACGTTTTATTACCATGCTTGGTACCCTCCTCAGTGCAGCCTCTGATGAAGCGTCGGTGTGTTTTCCCGCCTGGCTTTTAAACTCAGGGATCCGTTGCGATGGATTGCCTCACTTCCGGGTTTCCTCCGTAGTGGAA